TTTTTGTGGTAAATAGAAGTTAAAAACTAAACCTTATATTTATAACTAAAAATATAAATAACTTTATTATCAAAATCACATTTGATGGTCTCAACAATTGAAGTTCTAAAATTTCAAACGTTGTAGTAAATTACAGGTTGAAAAGGAGACCGATGAGTGCGGATCAGGATTGAATTTTATTCTAACTCAATCATCTTCGCTCGACTAAATACAAATCCTGGATTCTCACGTCCAATTAAATTCATACCCAGAAATAGCATACAGGAGAAAGGATGAGACTGTTTTTTTTTTTTTTCCCAAAGGAATATGTTGTAAGATTCAACGGCTGTCCGTAAATTACTCAGATGCAACAGGAGAAAACAAAAACAAGACATGGTCAAGGTCACTCAAGAGGTGCCTGCCTGTTTCAATTATTCTCCGCATGCCTATTCTTAGCACCATTTTTCTCTCTGCCTATTCTTACTCTGTTCCATGCCATCAAATTCTACCTTCACCACCACCTTCCTCTTCCAACACAAATTCCAAATAGCAGCAGCTCCCTCTCCAAAGGGCGCGCACGCCGCCCCTACAGTGCGCGTTCCTCCCCCACAACGCCATGGCCTCCTCCTTTCTTCTCTCCGCTATCCTCCTCTTGCTCTTCCAACTTCCCCTCTCCACCTCTATCACCGAGGCCGAGACCCTCCTCACCTTCAAATCCTCCATCTCCAACAACACTGCATTGTCCTCCTGGGACATCAAGAATCCTCCATGCAAGGGGAACTCTGCCAATTGGGTTGGTGTTCTATGTATCCAGGATTCTGTTTGGGGTCTACAACTTGAGAATATGGGATTTACGGGCACTCTCAACGTCTCCTCTCTTACTAACTTGCCAAACTTGAGAACCATAAGCTTCATGAACAATCGTTTTGATGGTCCCATACCGGAGATAAAGAAAATTCCTGCCTTGAAGTCGGTGTTTTTGTCAAGGAATCGTCTATCTGGAGAGATTCCTGCGGACTCATTTACCGGAATGGTGTGGCTGAAGAAACTGTATTTGTCTCAAAACCAATTCACCGGTGCCATTCCTGCGTCATTGGTTTCCTTGCCTAAGCTTATGGAAGCCAGACTTGACGGAAACCATTTCGAGGGTCTAATCCCGGTATTTAAAACGCAGAATCTTGTAACATTCAATGTCTCTGACAATGCATTGTTAGGTCCCATACCGTCCGGTCTTAACAAGATGCCCATCACTATGTTTCAAGGTAAGTGTAAACTCAGAAATTTTCAGTTTTCTGTTAAGAAAATAAATAAACTTATCTCTAGTCCTCGAACTTTAAAATTAAAATAAAATAAACAGACTACGGGAAAGACAAAAATGCTCTGCTTCTGACCTGAGTTTCGCTGTTTGATCAGGCAACAAAGGTCTGTGCGGACAGCCATTGGGGCCATGCAATTCGCCAACTGCTCTGTTACCTTCTCCGAATGACAGTTCCATTGTTAACGGGGTCAGGAATACCAGCAAACACACCGCTCGTAGTATTCTGATCATTTTAATACTCTGTGTGGTAGCATTAGTGGCCATCCTAGCAGTTATGTTTGCCCTGCGCCGCAGAAGCTCGCGGCCAAATTCCGTTGAGTCACCTCAATCAAACCTGGAGAAAAAAACGGGTATCAAGGAGGATCAATCATCCCATGGTGGATCCTCACACCACTCCTCTGCCGGTCGGAAGGGTGAGGTTCCGAAGCTCTCGTTTGTGAGGGATGACAGAGAGAAGTTTGAATTGCCAGACTTGCTTAAGGCCTCTGCAGAGATATTAGGCAGTGGTTGCTTTGGGGCATCGTATAAGGCAGCGCCGACAACAGGGTCCGCAATGGTGGTCAAGAGGTTTAAGAAAATGAACAATGTTGGAAGAGAAGAGTTCCACGAGCATATGAGGAGGATAGGGAGGTTGAACCATCCTAACTTGCTTCCTCTTGTGGCTTACTATTATAGGAAGGAAGAGAAGCTCTTGGTAACTGATTTCGTTCACAACGGTAGCTTGGCTGTTCATCTTCATGGTATGACACTATTCCTCCTGTGCATTTTCATTTCGAGAGTAGTGCTATTTAATTAGGAGGTGTTTGAGTTAACTGTTATTGTACATTAGCTTGCATACCTCATGAATCAAACTTAATCATCATGAAACTTCTACTTTATTTTATTGTATTTCAGGCCACCAGTCTTTAGGGCAACCAAGCCTAGACTGGCCAACTCGGTTGAAGATTGTGAAAGGAGTAACCGCAGGACTTGCATACCTCTACAAGGAGCTCCCTAGCTTAATTGCACCACACGGTCACCTCAAATCCTCAAACGTTCTTCTCAATGAATCCTATGAGCCCCTCCTCTCAGACTACGGCCTGATCCCCGTAATCAACCAAGAGAGCGCACAGGAGCTAATGGTAGCCTACAAATCTCCCGAGTACTTCCAAAACGGGCGTGTCACGAAGAAGACTGATGTATGGGGTTTGGGGATACTAATCCTAGAGATCCTCACTGGAAAATTCCCTGCAAACTTCTTGAAGGAGGGTCAAGGGGACGAGGAGGATTTGGCCATGTTAGTGAGCTCAATAGTCAAAGAAGGACGCGTGGAGGAGGTGTTTGACAAGGAGATGGAAATGGAGAAGAATAGCATAGGAGAAATGGTGAGGTTGCTAAAGATAGGGTTGAGTTGTTGCGAAAATTTGGAGAATAGGTTGGAGTTGAAAGAGGCGGTGGAAAAGATTGAAGAGTTAAAGGAGAAAGACGACCATGATGATGATCACTCTTCGATTATTAGTGATGGAGAAAAGAAGTCGTCAAGAGGATTGTCTGATGATTCCACGATGAGTTGAAACAGAAAATTGGTAAGATTCAGACCAAATGTTGTCGGAGAGGATTAAAGTTGCAGTTGCTGCAGAAGGGAGATGATGAGATGGGGTTACTTTGGTCTAGAAAATAAGAAAGAAAGAAAATGTGAAATGCACAATTTGGATTTTGTTTTTTGTCATTTTTCCTTAGGGAGAGTCTTCCTTAGAATACTTCGTGCTTGTTTCTCCATCTCTGTGTGTCTCTTATTGGTACAATTTCTTTCGGAAAAACTACCAGAACATGTGTTAATGGATTATTATTCATATGACTTTAGTTTAAGTTTGATCGGTCCTTCATCCGTTGATCTTAAACCCACTTGTTGGAGAGGTCCATCCCATTTTGGACGCTCCTTTTGTACATCTGAAAAATGAATTCCATTACAATTTTTTGGTATATGAATGTACACACACAGGGATGGAGCCAGGGGGGTGCAAGGGGGGCCGCTTGCTCCCCCTAGACTTTTGAAAAAAAATTAAATAGGTCCTATACTTTTAAAAAAAAATCAAATATACCCTTTTTGAAAAAAATAAAATGGTGTGTTCTAACTTTTATTCTTTTATAGATCTTATGATGAATTACTAACAACTTGACAAGTAAAATAAATTTAATAAAATATTTTTATTTATTTGACATATTTGTCATTCTAATATATGTATAGTTAATGATTATTTGTATCAAGTATCAAGTAACAAGATAAAATAGACTTAAAATTAGTATTATCAATTTTTTAAAACATTTAGTTTTACTATCTGGATAATATTAAACAATATTTTGTAATAAAAGTTGTGTTTTAGATTGAAATTTAAATATATTAATTTTAACAAGTTTTTCTATATTTAAGGTTTTTAAAATTTTATATATTTAAATATTAATTTTATTTATAAATTACAAGTTAAAAAATTCATTTTTTGCAAATACATTTTAAATAGTACTTCGCCCCCTCTAAGATTATTTTCTAACTCCGTCCTTGTACACACACATGTTCACTGTAATATGTACATATATATTATATATATTAATTTCGACTTTTAATAAAAATTGAAATCCAGACTCCAACAACACCATTTTATTTAAAATTAATCTTCACGCTTCTTGCAATTCATCATCTTCACGCCTCCTCCCGCAATTCATTCAATTTGTTTGACAAAAACCACGGCTAAGGTAACAGAGAAGGAATCAAAGGAAAACTTCATGAAACGGCATTAACATCATGATGCACAATATCATTGCCCATAAAACTGAATTCTCTAGTTTTCTCTCTATGCCGCAGTGGTGTAGAGCCCAAAACTTGACCTCTGCTTTGTTGGCTTCAAGCTCTCCATTGTTGGTCTTTTATAGCTCTTGTATACTAAGAATTACAGAGAGAAAATCGAAGAGAAACGAGAGATAGATAGGTCTTGTTTCCATTGTTGGTCTTTTATCGGCCTGTCCTCATAAAAAATGAACCCTGTCATTTGGAAACTAATTATTAAATGTAGGTATCAATATTTAACAAAGGTAGATAGATAGATAGGTCTTGTCTCCATTGTTGGTCTTTTATCGGCCTGTCCTCATAAAAAATGAACCCTGTCATTCGGAAACTGATTATTAAATGTAGGTATCAATATTTAACAAAGGTAGATTTTTAAATTTTGAATTGGATTTTAATTTAATAAAATGATGTTGTTTAAAGTGGAGACTCTAATTTGAGATTGATATGCATTTTTTCCATATATATATATATATGAGTAGGGATCCACTTACATATAGATCTTATATATTATATTTACACAAAATTTCAACCATTCATCTTATCACTTTTCAATGGTTGAAACTTATTCATACATATTAAAGATAATGATTTTTCATTTGAAAAATCTTGAAAATTTTCAACCATTAAAAATGAAAATATAAATAGTCAAATTTTGTATAAATATAATCTATAAAATTTGTATATAAATTGATTCCTCTTATATATATGTGTGTATATATATATATATATCGAAAAAGAGTTTTACAGTTTGGATTGTTCAAAAAAGTAAAACAGTGCACCTTATATATACATATAGAGGAAAGATCTATTTATACACAAATGTTTCACATTAACAATTCATCTCTCTATTTTTAATAGTTTAGATTTATCCTAGTTTTTTAGATGAAAAATATAATTATCTTTAATAAATATGAATAAACATCAATCATTGAAAGTGGTGAGATGAATGATTAAGATTTCGTATAAATATTATGTAAGATTTGTATATAAGTGAAACTTACTCATATATATATATATAAGAAAGGAAAATTATCTATATACCCTCGGTTTAACACATTTTCTTACACATTTTTTGTTCAACTATTAAAAATATAATATAAATACAATCAATTTAGTCGATTCCTGCATCATGTATATATGATTGTATTTTTAAACTTGTTTGTTTTTAATTTCAAATTAAGAAATAATAATTTTTTAATGAATGTGTTATGCAGTGTATTGAATCAGAGTGTATACTAATTACTGTCCTATGAGAAAAGTACATATTAGTCTCAAATTGGAGTCGCAACCTTAAAAAATATCGTTTTAATTAATTAAAACCTAATTTAAAATTAAGAAATTTACTTTTATTAAATGTTGATACCTACATTTAATAATCAGTTTCCAAATGCGCATGTCAATGTTTAATAAAATAGATTTTTGAATTTTGAATTGAGTTTTTGGTTTTCAAATATAGATATCAACATTTAATAAAGTAAATTTTTGAATTTTAAATTGAGTTTTAATTAAATAAAACGACAACGATTGAAAATATAATTTTGTTTAGAAGTTAAAGACTAATATGTATCATCTTATATATTTGAGATTAATAAGTATTAGTTTGTGTTGTAAAAATTTAGATAAAAAAATACTTAAAATTATATCATTTTAATAAAATATTATAATAAAAGATTAAAACAACCCTATTCTTATTTTAAAAATTAAGATATTTTAATTTTTTTTAATAAAATTTTATTAAAATGATGATATACTTTTGAGATTTTTTTTCATCTATTTTTATGGAATACAAACTAATACTCACTTTTTTTTGTGTGTGTATATATATATATAGCATATCAGTCCTATCTCATTTATCTATAAATTCATCCATAATTCCAATTATAACTTTGTAAAAGGAGCCCTATCCTTTCACATGAAAAATAATAGAATTTAGCATTCAAATGTTTTCAAAGTGATGGCTATAAAATGAACTTTTTAGTTAGAAAAATTAATGGAAAATAATATTAAGATATTGAAAATTTATCTAGGTACCAAAAAAGGGGACAATATATAGAATTATCTTCAAAGGGAGACAACATTATGTAAAAATAGATACTAAAGATCGTCAGCCAATATTGCACCTCATAAACTGTTGCAACTAAATACAACTTAAGATCGTTATGAATTCGTTTTTATTGATTTTTGGTCTTTCCATTTTCTGCCTAATTAAAGAAAATAGTAATGCCAACAAATATTAGTTGGGTTAGTTTCTCATGCCTTTTATCTAAATATCACAGGCCTTTTGGAGTATTGCAAGAATTTGCGAGAGAGAGGAGATCAAAGTTCTGTTTTTGGGGTGCTGGCCAGGCACTGTTGAAATGTCTCGAAGGAATTCCAGAGGGAAGGAAGAGAACATTGCAGTGGCAATAGACAAGGACAAAGGAAGCCAGTTCGCCCTCAAATGGACTGTTGATCATCTTCTTTCTCGAGGTCAAGCAGTCACACTTCTTCATGTTAGAACAAAGTCATCTTCCATTATTCCAACCCCGAGTATATAATCATCTCTATCTACATTCATTTTGTAGTTTTCAAATATTAAGATATCTTCTTTTGCAGAAGAAAGCATCATTTTCGATGAGTTTGATGCGATTCTTCTGAGAAAAGTCTAAATGAAATAACAATAATCATTTGTTGTTACCTTGCACATGCATGTTTGCAGCTGGGAACCACGTCAGTATCACCAATGTCAATGATGATGTTGCAAGAACGTACAAACAACAACTTGATAACCAAGCCAGAGAGGTTTTTCTTCCATTCCGATGTTTCTGCACTCGAAAGGATGTAAGTTTGAAGAACATTAGATAAAAATAGGGTAGAAACCTAGAAAAAAGAAAAAGGGATCTAACTTTATATCCTCATGATGATTAATATTTGGAACAGATAAAGTGTAATGAAGTGATCCTGGAGGAGCCGGGCATACCTAACGCGATAATTGAATATGTCTCATCCAATGTCATAGACACCTTGGTCATGGGGGCACCATCAAGGAGTGGCCTTGTCAGGTAAATTACCTGCAGCAACATCCCATTTCTGAAAATGAAATTAAATTCTGCTATATAGGGTGGGGATTGATCAAATATAAATTGTGCATGTTTGAAATCTTGTGACAGAAGATTTAAAATTGTGGATGTCACCAGTAGTGTGTCAAAGGGAGCTCCAGATTACTGCACAGTTTATGTCATTGGCAAAGGGAAGATCTCATCTATTCGACCTGCTTCTACTCCACCCCCAAGAATGCCTTCTCGTGCTCAGTTAAACACCCAAACCAGCAACATTAGTGACTCATCAGATATGTCAGGCTCATCAAATTATTCCAAGTATAGAGGTTTGCTTCTATAATTCCCTCATCAATACAACCCCATTCAGCTAGCTTTCATCCTCTCTAACAGGAATCTTAATTGTTCCTGTAGCAGCAGCTGAGAGGCCACAATTTCCACGACGCAACCTTCCAGAAGAGATGGAAATCAAGTAAGTTGTAATACATTAAACTTGAAATGGAGAAAAGGTAATACCAAATGCAAGTTTCTTTTCTTTATTTAAGTTGGAAGCTCTCTGAGGCATACCTTTCAACCCTGAAAGTACTCTAATACAGCCTGTGTTACCACATTCTTTCCATATTTCACACGATTTAAGTTTAAGCTGCTTGTGCTATATGTTGTAAACAGAAGGGGGAACTGACCTGATAATTGCTGGAACAGGTCACCATTCACAAGAGCAGGCAGAAGTCCTATCAAATATGAACCTTCAGTGCTAGAATCAGACATATCATTTGTAAGCAGTGGAAGGCCGAGCACTGATCACTTGTTCCCTCTGTGTGACATGGAAAACGGAATGACTCCTCAACTTTCAATAAGTTCAGATTATGACATCAGAAGCTTTGGCTCATCATACTTCGGAAACAAGTCTGTTGATTTGAATTCTCCGCAATATGAGTTCTCATCAAGCTTACTGGAAAGTGGACCATCACAGAACATGGTAAGGAGCATCAATCTTGAAAAATGAGAGTGGTTAGTAATTAAAGCACTATGCATACACGAAAAGCAATGATGCACAATTGATTGGACATTGCAGGAAGATGTGGAAGCTGAGATGAGGAGGCTCAAACTAGAGCTTAAACAAACAATGGATATGTACAGTGCAGCCTGCAAGGAAGCCCTCACAGCAAAGCAGAAGGTACTAATAGCTAAAAAACAGTGTTTATATATACTTCTGCTTTATGTGCGCTTTTCATCTGAATCTGAAATCTCTTACTTGAAAAAAGGAAGGCCAGCAATCAGGTTACACCTTGATTTCACTTGTGTATATATATATATATATATATATATATATTTGTTGAACAATTTGATTTCACTTGTATATAACTGCAGGACAAAAATCTTAAGACATGAAATACACTAAACACATAGACATGAGATTAGGAAAACCATGCTTATTTCCTATTATACTATATATATCATTACAGGCTAGGGAACTTCACATATGGAAGATGCAAGAAGAGCAACGATTATCTGAGGAAGCCACATTGGCACTGATAGAGAAAGAGAAAGTAAAGTGTAAGGCAGCCATCGAGGCTGCAGAAGCAGCTAAGAGGATTGCTGAGCTGGAAGCTCCAAAAAGAATGAATGCAGAAATGAGTGCTGTGAAAGATGTTGAAGATAAGAAGAAGGAAACAGCTAGTTTGGGACAAGAAATGTACAGAAGATACACAATTGAGGAGATTGAAGCAGCAACGGAGTTCTTCACAAACTCTCGCAAGATAGGGGAAGGAGGTTACGGGCCAGTCTACAAGTCTCACCTAGACCACACACCAGTTGCAATAAAAGTTCTGCGTCCTGATGCAGCACATGGTCGAGCACAGTTTCAGCAAGAGGTATGAATCTTAAAATTCTGTGCTTCATTAAAGAAATCTCTCCATTTCTTTCTCATGGAGAGCACAGACATCTCCTACTTCAGTTACCAAATCACAAATTAAGTACAAATATTCTGGCTGTGCTTGTAGGTTGAAGTATTAAGCCTAATACGACATCCAAACATGGTTCTCCTCCTTGGAGCCTGCCCAGAGTATGGTTGCCTTGTCTATGAGTACATGTCTAATGGGAGCTTAGAAGACCGTCTCTTCCAGAGAGGTAACACCCCACCACTTTCTTGGCAAGTAAGATTCCGAATTGCTGCAGAGATTGCCACTGGTCTCCTTTTCCTCCACCAAACTAAACCAGAGCCACTTGTGCACCGTGATCTGAAACCCGGAAATATTTTGCTTGATCGCAACTATGTCAGCAAGATTAGTGATGTTGGCTTGGCTAGGCTCGTCCCTCCATCAGTAGCCAACTCTGTAACTCAGTATCGCATGACATCAACAGCTGGGACTTTCTGCTACATAGATCCTGAGTATCAGCAAACTGGAATGCTTGGAACAAAATCTGATATTTACTCATTTGGGGTCATGCTTCTACAAATAATAACAGCTAAGCCACCAATGGGCTTAACACATCATGTTGAACGGGCCATTGAGAAGGGAACTTTTGTTGAGGTGCTAGATCCAGCTGTGCCAGACTGGCCAATTGAGGAGGCCTTGATCTTTGCTAAACTCGCCCTTAAATGTGCAGAACTGAGGAAAAAAGACAGACCAGACCTTGGGAAGGACGTTTTGCCCGAGCTTAACAGGTTAAGAATGCTTGCAGAAGACATGCCCAATCTCACCTCCGGTGGCTGTACAGGGACCTCACCAGATCAAAGCCATGTCTCATGTTCCTCCATACCAGTGAGTTGACAAATAGATATATATATATATATATATATATATATATATATATATGACCTGCATTCCATTATGTTTCAATTTTGTTCTAAGAACAAAATAAGGATTCATATTTTACAGACGGACTATATATTAAAAATATAATTTGACTTATGAAATTATGAAAATACTTTTAATGAAATAATATAAAAAATAGTTTCATTAAATGTATTTTAATAAATTCATAAGTTAAAATATACTTTTAATTTGTAGTCTATCTTGCAAAATATTTTTTCCAATACACAACCAAATACTAATTAAAGATATGTTTGGTTGAATTTTTTTCTCTTCCAAAGGACACAAAATCAAGATTATAAATTTATTTTCTTTATATATATATTTTTTATCAGGATTTTATGAGTGAAAGCAGGTCCCAGCAGTCCGGGTATGATAGCTCAAGGAGCCGCTCGAGCTCATCATCTTTTCCTGAGAGAACATAAAAGTAAACATCAAGAAGAGCAATTCGTGTAATTAAGAAAATTAGTTATTCAGCTTTAGTTTATTTGAAGTTAGTTAATTATCTGCTTTCTTTCATGTGTAGGAAATAGGAAGACAGCGATTGTGAACTGGCTAAACCAGCAACATGAGACAAGACAAAAGAAGCTCAAAGTTTAACATCAACAAAGAAGTGGGTTTGGGAAAGGGAATGTCTCAATTTTCTGAACATGGGATCTTCAAGTTCAAATATTGAGCTGGATAGGGAGCAATTGGAACAAAGCAATAATTAAGAAACAAACTCTGAGCCTCAATCTTTTCAGTTGTTCACTTCTGTTCTGACTCATTAACAAAGGCTTCTAGAATGTAAATACAATTTTTTTACAATGCAACAAAGCAAGTTGTGCTTTTCTGTGAACCAATTAAGAGCGCCATGCATGCCTATGTTTTGGCATTAATAAGATAAGTATCAAGTTATATTTCTTTACACTAAATCAAGTTATATTTCCTTACACTATTGATTGCTTAAAGAAAAATATCAAGTTAGGATACTGCAGAAAATTTCAGAATTATATTTCTTTACAATAGGAATTCCTAAGAAAATGCATCCCATTTCATCTGGAATAGATAATATTCTTATTTGCAGGCTGACGTACAAATAACATAATTCAGAGATGCTAAACCATATTAAAAAGATTCCAACAAGACCCTGGCATTTACATCCAGGCATGGCAACATGAAAAAGTATGACAATAATTAAGAAAAAAGAAGTAATTAAAGGCAGCAGTGCAATGGACTCACCATGCAGAAACATTTGGGTTTGGATCTCTGTAACGAAAGAGAGAGGAATCACTAGCAAAATCTCGAAGTTTATGAACTGAGCATAATGTCAGACAAACAAGTGGACATGTTTTTACCTTAACCAAACAGCAAATCTTGGCGAGTAATTCCAAAAAAATCTGATTCCTTCAGTATTGCTTTTCATTTTGCCTATATTTTCTGGGCAAAAAATAAATAAACAAATAAAGCTTTTCATTTCTCCTCCTAAGACCAACATCCCTCAATAACTCACTCAATCTATAAAATTCTTTCCCTTGCATAAGCAAATGACATGCGTTTTATTCCTTCTTCCTCTATAAGATATCTAGTCCTTTTGAGATGACAGCGAGATGCCTCCATCTCTGTCAAGGAACCCAAAAAATGGTATAATATCTAATAGAAGTGTTTCCAGTGGCAGAATCCACAGGGAAACCCCTTCCCTGAAATCCTTTTCCGTCAGCATATTCTCCATTAATTCAAGCTGCACTTGATTTCAAAAGCAAAAGTTGGCCACTAAGTACAGCTCAGGTATAAATACAAAGTTCCTTGAATTAACTTATCCATAATTTTCTTTTAAAATCCCAGTTCTTTATTTCTTTTACAAGTGAAAATCTTTGAAAATTAAAATACTAAATTCATAAAGGAAGAAAGAAAGAAACAAACACAAACATCCTAAATTTGACAACATGATTCTAGAGCAGCAATTGTGAGCAAAACAAGTTTACCCTGCCTGCTAGAGCTCGATTCATGCTGGGTTAATCTGGCAACAAGGAGAAGCTGTGGTGAGATTTTCTGGACTAAATTGATAAGAAACAAAGAATCGGTACTCAAATGACAATCTGATTAATTGATTAGAGAGTAAAGACGAATTTGATATTTGTAGAACAAAAATCAAGGGAGGGAGTGGAGAACCACAAACATGCAGGATGCAGCATGGGTCCTACATTAATTGCGACGGTATCGGTATGATAGAGCTGTCGGCTTCTTGGGCGCATTAAAAATGCAAGGTCCCACTTGTTCTTTTTTTTAATTAGGTCCCACTTATTCTACACCCCTTACAAAATCAAATTAAATTCTTTAAGAAAATAATTTAGAAATAAATTTTTTATATGAGTTTATACATTATTTT